GAGGGAAGGGAAAGGCTATTTAGGATACTGCTCTCCTCCGCCTCCCCTGCTTTCGCCTCCTCTCTCCTTCCTCTTCGCCGTGCCTCTCCATCCGCTTTCGCCCTCCTCATGATCTCCTCCTCGTTCTCCCTCCTCCTCCCTCCTCCCTCCTTCTCCTCTTCCTGGTATTGCTCACCAGGCGTGCCGGTCGGTCGGGCGGGCGTCGGGCGTTTCGGCCGAGACTTCTCTTTGCCTCTGAATCCTCGCTCTTGAGGCATCGCAGCAGTTTCGAGGACGGTGGCGGCGTGGTTTTCAACATGTTGTTCGTGCCCTCGTGCCGCGCGCATGCGATGGCAAGTGCTGCGAACGTTACCGGCATGGAGACCCGTGTGTTGTTTGTTCTGTTCTGGCGCCGTGCACATGTGCTTTGAAAGTTGATACCAGAGTTTCAGGAAGGGAGGCGTGGTCGTTGTCACGGTGCGGTTTTCGACGTAGTGCCTCGCACAGTCGGCATACAAGTCAGCAGCAGCCTCACTGATGGAGGGCGGCTGCAGTTCAAAATGCGGTTCTCGCCTGCGCGCCGAGCGCATCTGTGTTAAACATGTGCAGCCGTTTCCCGGTTGGAAGAGGTCTGTTTCGCTTGTTTACTCCATTTCATTAGTGCCGCATATGCTCATCTCAACATGTTGCAACAAGGCCAGGGCTGGAGGGCGGTTCCTTTCCAAAGCGGGGCCCTCCGCTGTCCCCATGGCGCCGCGCACGCTCGTCGCATACGCTTGCAGCACTTGCACTGAGGAAAGGCCGTTTCCAAACAACTGCTCTCGCCCAGTGGCCGCGCACGGCCAGTCGTTCTGCATGCGGCACTGATTACGATGGAGGGCAGCTCTTTTGCAAATGGGGCGATCCCTCCAGATTTCGCTAGATCGCTCACGACCTAAAACTTCAGTGCATGGGGCACCGCACGAGTCCACCGCGTCTTTTTCCCCACATCCTGAAAAGGGGGGCTCTTGTTTTATCTGGACACCCCTTCGCTGGAAAGAACTTCACCTTATCTTCCTCTCCTCCTTTCACATTCGCGATCAACCACTCTGAACACTACGCTCCCGCCTCTGGTGAAGTTGTCCGGGAGAACTCCTCCACATCCACGTGTTTTTCTGTTTTAGTTCTCTCTTCGGGGCCACTTGATTGCGGACGTTGATCTTCCATATGGGTTGTTGTAATCCAGTTGTCTTCGGTGTTCCAAAATGGTACCCTCGCTGCATCGTGGGCCTCATTTTCGAATAGGCGCGTTGCTCCCGTCGTTCAGACTGGCGCTCTCGCCCGTGCGCGGGCCACTTTTCTGGATCCGAGTCTTGCTTCATTGTGGTCCCCGCCCATCATTTCCCCTCCTCCGTCATCCCCTGGTCCTCCTTCCCCTTCCGACCCTTCCGCCTTGGTTCTTGTTGCTGCTGCTGTTGGTCCTCATCCTTTTCTTTCCGCTCATCATCCTGCTCGCCCGCCACCTCCTTCTGTACTCGCCGTTCCCCTTTCTGATTGCGCAAGACACGAAGTGGTCTCTATGTTTGAGTCGAAGGTCGGCTATGACACGCGTCCGCGGATAGAGAAACATCAGCGCCATATGAATGGATGGGAGGGAGGGATCCGATGTCAGATGAGGCGCGGGCGCACCTAGTTTGACATTCCCTTCTCCGCACACCACTTCTATCCTTTTGACACTCACTACCACAATCACACCACCCTCACCGCTATCATTACCTCGCCATGATCATTGGTCACCATCATCACATTCACACTCGCTCACACACTCACACTCCCACACTACCATCGTGAGGACCTCTCGAGCGGTAGCCCCGTCTCTGAGTAAAGCGTGAGGAGGTCTCGAGCGGGAGTCCACGTTTTCGGGGGCCGCCAGCTCATGTTGTTAATCCGGCCTTGCCGTTCACAACTTGTAATTGTCGTCACTGTTGGACTCCTGAGGCATGAATCTGGGGGACGTATCAGGTGTGAGCCTCGTCTCTGAGTGAGTTGTGGGGAACTCTCGAGCGGGAGCCCCTCCGTACGGGGCCCTCAGACCATGTTGCTAATCCGAGCGGATCACACAATCGTCGTCCCTTTTGGGCTCCGCTCCTGAGGCGTGAATCTGGAGGAAGTCTCGAGTGGGAGCTTCGTCCCGAGCGAGCGCAGGATGAGGAGGATGAGGAAGCGGAGGATACGGGAGAGGCAGGAGGAGGAGGAGAACACAAGTACACCAGAGGCCCGGACAAGTTCCAGGAGCCACCAGAGGGCTCCAGGAGGCCCCAGGAGGCTCCAGGAGGTCCCCAGAAGGCTCCAGGAGGCCCCTTTTGATGGCAGGAGGCCCTTGGAGAAGGCAGGAGAAGGAGGAGGAGAAATGGGAGGAGGAGCAAGAGGAGGAAGAGGAGGAGGCGGAGGAGGAGGAAGAGAGAGGAGGAGGAGGAGGAGGCGGAGGAGGAGAAGGGGGGGCTGGAGCAGGAGGAGCAGGATGATGATGATGATGATGATGATGATGATGATGATGATGATGATGATGATGATGATGTTGTTGATGATGATGATGATGATGATGATGATGATGCTGATGCTGATGCTGATGATGATGATGATGCTGATGCTGATGCTGATGCTGATGCTGATGCTGATGATGATGATGATGATGATGCTGGTGATGGTGATGGTGATGGTGATGGTGATGGGATGATGATGGTGCTGGTGATGATAAGGATGCTGATGATGATGCTGATGCTGATGCTGATGCTCATGATGATGCTCATGCTGATGCGGATGCTGATGCTGATGCTGCTGATCATGAGCCGCTGATGATGATTATGATGATGATGATGCTGCTGATGATGATGATGCTGATGATGATGCTGTGATGATGACGATGATGAGATGACGATGATGATGATGATGATGATGATGATGATGATGATGATGCTGATGCTGATGCTGATGATGATGATGTTGATGATGATGATGATGATGATGATGATGATGATGATGATGCTGATGCTGATGCTGATGCTGATGCTGATGCTGAGGATGAGGATGAGGATGAGGATGAGGATGAGGATGAGGATGAGGATGAGGGTGAAGGTGAGGATGAGGATGAGGATGATGATGAGGAGGAGAAGGAGGAGGACGAGGAGGAGGAGGAGGAGGAGGAGGAGGAGGAAGAAGGAGGAGGAGGAGGAGGAGGAGGAGGAGGAGGAGCATCAGCAGCAGCAGCAGGCGCACGAGCAAGGAGGGAGGAGGGTGGCCGGACGAGGGAGCCTGGGTGAGAATAGGGCCTATCAGGGCCGCCCTGGCACGGCCGAAAGGGCGGTGGAAACGCCCCAGTCGCATTCCTGAGCGGTTCAAACATATTTTGTTGGCCCCCCAGGGGTTTGCGGCGGGCCCTCAGGACAGGGGAGGGCGGAGAGAGCAGGGAGGAGCGAACAACGACGAGGACGGAGGGTGGACCCGACGTCGCCGGGCGCCACAGGGAGCCCCGGACTTCTCGACCCCTTCCCTCGTGCGTGGGTTTGTTTGTGCCTCCGTGGCCCTGGGTCCAGAACTGGCCTCCCGGCTACATGTAAGAGTGACCCTTCGCCGGAGTGACCTTTGGTGCGGGCTCACCGGGGCCCCCCCGACCGCTGAGCGCGGTGCGATAGTGGCGGCTTGCGCCTTTGGATTTGGGCACCTTACGCCCCCTCAGTCCGCGCACGAAAGGTCGCTTTTACCCAGGGTCACTCTTGCGCACCGCCGGTCCCTGCCATCGTCGTCGTCGCGCTGCTGCCCCCCTGCTGCTGCCGCGCTGCTGCGGGCCCATGTGTTTATGCACCCCAGAAGCCCGCGGGGGGGCGCTCGGAACGAGGGAGCCCCGGCGGGAAAGGGGACCTCCAGGGCTGCCTGGTGGCGGCCGAAAGGGCGGCGGAAAAGCCCGAATCGCATTCCTGGGCGGTTCAGGAATACTTTACTTTTTGGGCTGCCGGGGGCTTGCGGGTGTGGTCCTCGGGACGAGGGCGCCTGGGGGCATCAGGGCCGTCCGGGGACGGCCAAACGCGCGGTTCAAATGCCGAACCGCAGTCGCAGACGGTTCAAGAATGTTTTGGGGGCCCCCAGGGGCCTGCGGGCGGCCCTCGGGACGACGGAGCCCTGGCGGGAAAGGGGACCTCCATGCTTGCCTGGGGGCGACCGAAATGGTGGTGGAGAAGCCCGACTCGCATTCCTGAGCGGCTCTGATGGGCCTGTTTTCCACCACCACCACCATAAGTTGGAGGGGGAGGGGGTCCTCTTTGTCCTCCTCCTCCTCCTCCTCCTCCTCCTCCTCCTCCCCCTCCTCCTCCTCTTCCGTAGCCATTTTGGCTCAAGTTTGAAACGCTTCCCTGGCGCTTCGAACTTGGTCGCTGCCGAGGGGACGGCTCAGAGCGATCTTCTGGCGAGGGCAGGCCTCGCGGCACGAGAGCTTCAGTGCCCGTGCCTTTTCTGCATTTTGTGACACTCTATACATCTTCTCCTGCTGGATCGCCCCAGCTGTTCTCTGCCATGGGAAGTGAGGAGCTCAATCAGGCCATACAGTCGGGCATTGCTGCTGCCATGGCCTCCGCAACGGAAGCCATAGTACAACAGGTCACGGCACACGTCTCAGGCGAGCTCAACAAGAAGTTCGAGACCGTCAACAACTCCCTCCTCCTGCATCAGAATTCCATCCAAGCTCAGCAGACGGCCATGACCCAGCTCGTCGATCGCGTCAACCTCCTCACCAAGCAATGCGCGGACAACGACACCAATCTCAAGCGCATTGCCAGCGCATCATCCTCGACGGCATCTTCCTGTGGTGGGTCCACCTCTGGCTCCGCGGGCTTCGCGAGGCAAATCCCCTCGGGTGCCAAGAAGCAGCGCGGCTTTGACGCAGTGCCTGGCGGCGACTCGTTACTCAAGTTCGTTGGCACCTTCCCTCGGCCCGTCTTGGACTCTGTCAGACGCAAGCATTGGGACCAGCTCGTGCAGCACTTCCCGCA